GTGCAGATTTCGTGGCAGGCACAGCACTTTGTGAACCTCGAAGTGCAGATTTCGTGGCAGGCACAGCGCGGGGTGAACCTCGAATTGCAGATTTCGTTGCAAGGACAGCACTTGGTGAACCTCGAAATGTAGATTTCCTGGCAGGCGCAGTACTGAGGTGCTCACTCTTTCACTCTCCCTCACTCACTCACTCACTCACCCACACTCACTCTCACCCACACGCACTCACCCACCTTCAGTCTCACTCACACTCCCTCTCACTCTCACTCACACTCACTCTCACCCACCTTCACTCTCACTCACGCTCACACTCACACTCACTCACTACCACCGCCACCGTCACCACGATCCCCACCTTCATCACCACCATTACCTCTCTGGAACCCAATACGTCTAGATCTCTAGACTTTCTGCTTACAGACCTCACACACACACACACTGTTTGGGGTCTCTTGCCGGGAAATTTTTCAGCCGCGATGCATGAAACATGCTGATATCACCATACCTGTGCGATGGGATAGCGATGTTTTCTTCTGCTTTTCATGGTCGCGCCATGTGGGCTTCCCATGGCAGACATTGTCTACTGCAGCAAGAATCTTTTGCCGTTCTGCTGGTGGTTTTATGCGGATGATCTCCCGACACATGATGTAAGCAGCAAAACAAGTTCGCATTTCTGCAACTTCGGAGTCACTCACTGCGAAGGAAGAAAACCGTTTGAGGATGTTTGAGGTTGAATGTCGGGCAGGCATCGCAAACTAGAGCTCGGAATTTCCATCAGGGGTTGGTGCCGAAGCAATCGAAGCAACTTCCAACTATATATATATAACCTTTGTCTTCTTCGAGGAAACGCTCCCAATCATTATACTTGGGTCACTTCTTTGGAGGCATGGCTCGTGGAGCAGAAAAGCGAAAACTGTTTATGGCCACCTCCAAAAAGCATTGTCCTATTGCAAAGACCAGCGAGCAGCAAAGCCCTATTTGAGCACGCGACCACAAGAAGCGGAACCTTGGTTAAACATATTCTGGTAGTTTTGGATTGTGCGCACGTCGGAAATATCATACAGGGCGGAACAAGGGCTCCAGGAATCATAGCTGCCACACGGTCCATGCACCAGAAAAAGTCTTTACAGGGCTCACACGTCAAAAAACGAAGGCACGGACGGGGCGACAGGCATTCTTCAAACGCCTGCTTTTGTAGCAGTAGCAGCAGCAGCAGCAGGAGTAGTAGTAGTAGGAGGAGGAGGAGTGGTAGTAGTAGTAGTAGTGGTGAGTGGTGAGTGGTGAGTGGTGACTAGGGTAGTGGCAGTGGTACAAGCAGCGTAGCAGTAGCAGAAGCAAACAAGCAGCAAGCAAGCAGCCAAGCAGCAGCAACAGTAGCAGCAGCAGCAGCACCAGGCTCCAAAGCGCACAAAGCCAGGCCAGGCTCCAAAACGCACACAGGTACTTCTTCCTCTACTTGAAGTAGAAACCCCAACAGCTCTTGCTTTGCGACAACCAGTTTGCAACTTCGTGGCGGCTTTCTTTGATTTCTGGTGTGCACGATGCTTCATGGAAAAGTCACCTTCTGAAAAAACACAAATCTGTTATACACCAGCAGGACGCAACAGTGCATCGACTTCCCAAAATTCATCGCCAGGCTGGGACGCACAATTTATCAAAATGCATCGATTTCCGCATCTCGGAGTAGTAGTAGTAGCAGAAAGGTAAGCTTGGATATGTTTTCTAAGGCTCCAAGTTTACTCATTAATCCTACCCCCTCAACAGTTTTTATTATTGACTTCCCCTGGGCTTATGTACTACCTCCTTGAAAAAATTGTTTGGAGCAACGAAATCGATCATTTTTTAACAAGGGCTTTTGACAGGCTTTTCAAGTAAGATTTCCATGAATCAAGCAAACCTCAAACGAATTAAGCAATGATCTTGACAGGATAGCAGGACAATAACATAGTTTTCCTTGGGGCAAGAACCTTAGTTATTTCCACCACTAAACTACAGTATATTCCGGGTGTGGCAATCATTGTGCGAAAACCTGTGATTATTCCCTCGATCCTTGACTATATAATTAGGATGCCACATGTATCGCCAAACATGCGCTCCCGCTTGGCTCTCGAGTCGCGTGGAGTGTTCCGTAGACTTGGCTTAGCAATTGCCAGCACGTAGGTCCGTGGGTCGTAAAGAGGTAAACTCACTACCTCACCTCTCTGCGCCGACTCTTAAGCCTCTCAGGATGTGGCTTGAAGATGCACTCACCCACTATACTAGATCTATACTTAAGGTGTGCACCTTTCGATGACTGTATCTGGCAGTCGTCTCAGCCGGATGTGCCGAACGTTTCGATCCACCACAACGCTTCACGTCTTCTCTGCATGCCGAACGCTTCGCCATCTCAATGTCTCAACACAATGTCTCAACCATCTCACCACTCACAACTGTGTCTGGATGCATCCAAATGTCCCCACATGTCCCCAGGGTGCGATTGAGAAGCAAAACAGGTCCGTGCAGGTCTGGTCAAGGATCAAGAAACGGCTCCCGGCTCGACATCCCAACACGTCAAAACGCAACACATCCCAACACATCCCATCACGGAAGAACACGCACCAGGGCAAAACCAGTTCTGTAGTCACTTTCCACCGGTGCATACCGGTGCTTTAGCAAAACGGGAGCTGGAAAAGGCCATGAAACACCCGTGAAAAGGACGTGAAAAAACCCATGACAAGCGCATGAACACAGGGTGAAAGGCCGTTAAACACCTGTGAAAATTAGGTCTTGGAAGTTGGGAGGTGAAATGCGTCCGTTACGCTAACGCACCAGTTTAACCCGTCCTTTGGATTTGCTGGGCATCGAAAAATACATAAAAATATCGAAACATCGCGGGGAGGAAATCCATGTGAGCACGTTCCGCGTAGCCAAAGACACGCAGGCTGGACGGCTTGTCGCTGGGACTTTTCCTGGCACTTTCTCAGCCACTCTCCAAGCCATGGGCGTCACAGAATGAACAAATCACAACATCTGGATGGCCAGGGAGGGGGATCAAGGCCAAGGGGGAATCAATACCGCCTGATTTGGAATTGACCTCTGCCGACACGCTGTTGGAGAATGTTCGGTTGATCGCCACATCTTTGGATGTCCCGGTGATCGCGAATGGTTCCCGAAGCATGATTGCGAAAAACTGATCTGTTAAAGTAGACTCTTGATTAGTAACCCCCCCCATGTGGACTTCAAAACCTCTTCATTGCCATCAGGAGTCTACATTACATTCATCTTCTCCATATTGTTCAGCCATTCTTGGGCTGCTGCGCGTAACCTCAAAGATGGGACGCAACCAGTGGTTGACTCCAAGTTATCTTTTCGATGGCTTTGTACCCACATGTACCCACAGCCGCACTCTCCATGAGTCAACCATCCACGCTGGAGAAACAACAAAACTAAACAACGGCTGGTATGTAGTACAGGGGAAGTGGACACATGATGAACGTGAACCCTTCGAACATCTTAGAAGGCTATTTGTTGGGTACATTATCCCACTGATAATCACTGATACCAATAACATCCAGTAACGATGAACATGGTTAGTAAAGGCCGTTCTCAATAATAGTTATGAATATTTTTCCCGACTGAAATAGGACACACCCTAACTATATGTTCTACAAGCGGCACTGGTCGTTCATGTTTCGTCCGGCCCTCACCAACCACACTCCGTCCGTGGCACGGGCCGTGAAAAGGCGGCACGGGTCCCATGAAAGTGACGCCCGGTGGCCCCAAGCATTCATGGAATATACAGTATGCCGCATGGACCGTACATCGACCCCAGGTCAACCAGTCCCATGCAATGGGAAATAGGCCCAGTCCCATGGATGGCCTGGGACTGGGACATTGTACATGTTTTGCAGAATTCATCGTTGAGTGCCTCACTGGATGGGTCTCAGAGCCACACCTAATGGAACGGTAAAAGCATGGGTTTGATCTGGATTTCCAGCTGGGTCAAACACTGTGGTCATCCTGGAATCATGCTACACAAATCTACAAAACCTTCATACATACTCAGACTCATGGCCATGGCTGTGGGTCAAAGCCTCGAGCCCCAACACCATGTAGCTTGGCATCCCACATAGGTCAATCAAGGTCTCCTAGTTTTGACCGACAGCCATTGATGGCTGCTATTTAAAGGGTTCTATCGAGTGACTCTCTTCCCAGTCTCAGCTCTCCTCGTCTGCAGAGCTAGCAGAGGACGACGACCTGCAGCCGGCTGCCAGGACTGCTGCAGCTCCACTTTCACCCCACTTCCCACGAGTCTGGAGGATATCATGACCCTTGCTGTGAAGTTGCAAATCGGACTTCTGCACACTTATCCAAAACATGTAGTTCATTAACCTATACAACTATAAAAGGAAAACACACACATCGACCCATTCGAACCATGACGAGCATGAGGTCCTCGGTGGGAAGGAGGTCATCCTCCCTTCCGGTGGGCGCCACCGCGACCGCGACCGCACCTGGAGAACTCTGCTTGCTCTTGCTTCACGGCCTCGGTGCGTGGTCAGTGCAGGCCAAAGAAGACCGGTGACGCCGTGCCTCCAGAGGTGAAGGTTAAACCAACAGAGTATGGTACATCATGGTACATCAACATGTCCAACGCTAAAAAAGCTTACGCTCAAAAAGCCCTGGTAGGTACGTTACGTCACATTTCATCAACATACGCGTTGGAGTAGGTAGCGTGTGGGTCTCCGGATCCTTCGTTCATCTTTAGGTGGCAAGTCACATCATCCGTTCGACCAAGCAACGGTGTGCCAGGCATGACTTCGATATCCGGAATGACATAATCATGACTGTGCAGCCATGTGAGGTTCAAACGGGTTCAAACGTGAAAAGTCAATGTTACAACTTCTTGATGGCGTCTAGACACCATCCCTTGGATCCGAAATGGACCAGGAAAGCCAAGGACTATGCTGTTATCAATCACCTCCTTCCAGGCAGGCAAGAATACAACACATGGGATGGGTATGGATCGGTCCATGAACATTTCTGACACTCCAACCATTTTGGACGTCGGTGGAATTTACAAGAATTGGATGATTAGTAGACCACAGCAATCAGTTGCGCTTCAGGGAATGGCTCCGCCTTGGAGAATTTGCCCATCGGGTGGGCTCAACCCAGTCAGACCAATTGACTTGAACAATGAGTCACCATATAGCAGTCTCCCATCAGGAACCCCATGGGCATGCCATCATGCCCCGGGCCAGGGCCCCCCATCATCACGTCGGTCGACTCCGGAGGTCTTCCGGAGTTGAAAAATCCCTTCGTTCATCCGAACCTATTGCCCAACACACCAAAAAGGCCTTCAGAAGTGCCCCCACCTCGCCCACCGGGTGCCCCCCCGCCAGGACCGAGGATGGTTCCTCCTGTGCCGCCTTGGGCCACGTCTGTCGACTCTGGACATCCAAGGAGTCTGTCGTCAGAGTTGCAAATGAAAAGGTTTCACATGGTTTCACGGTTCAAGGCGGGCATTTGCCAACTACATGGTGATTTGTGGTCCAACAACTCTTGACTCCACCCCAAACGTGCCACTTACGACGTTGTTTTCAAACGAACGGACCACGTCCGCAGGACCGGCCGGCCCCGCACCAGAGACACGTTTTCCACCGGGTCTGTCCGTCCACACCCGATCCTCTCAAGCTGTTGGGAAGAACCCACAAAATCCAGAAAGAACCCAACCATTGCTTTGTGAAGAAACCCCCTTCCTTTAGAACCTCAAAACTCTTTGAGGTCGACGGGTTTCGGAAAGAAATCCCATTCTACTGACGAACGATCTCCGTACCGACTGGTGCCTCGAACTTCTCGAAGACCTGAGCGAAAAGAAAACAAATCAATCTCAATCCAGGTGGCTGCTTCCAGGCAATTCATGTCACAGTGGAAAAAGTTGACCAAGATTCTACGGTTCCTTTTCCTCCTTAGCTCCCAATAATCCACTTCTCAAACTTAGCTCCGCCGGTTCGCATCAGCGTTTCACAGCGAATCCATACAGACGAAACACGCAGTGAACATATTTATTAATATAAAGTCAATCAATGTAGCCAGTGATTGCAGTCAGACTAAGGGAGATCTCAACGCGAGCCCCTTATTCATGTGGACCTTGGGGGTTGAAGTATACCATTGTATAATATAGAAAGATCATGAAATACCAGACATGCCAAACATTATTGAGCCCAAACCGTGTGTTGTCTTTGGCAATGGAATGTGGCTTCCAGGCAATACCATGCATATATATATATATATATATAGAGAGACCCAATGAGTCCTGCCAGCAAACATGGTCAAAACTACCTAGAACCCATACCTCCCTTATTCGGACGACCAACCAACCCAAATATGGCCCCATGTGCCACTGCATGCCACTTCAACACTGGTATCACGTCATCCTGAAACCCATCATTGTTCACATCGCATCACAAAATTCAACCAAACAAACCATTTGCCAGGCCATGGACATGAGCATGCATGCAGCTTTTGATGACCCCACCGATGGTGTTTGTGTTTTAGGGTGTTGGACCTGCAAATTACATTTTCCTCATGGTGGGTTTGGGTCCTTGGTGCTCAGTGTGGTATTATTGCTCCCAGTAGTTAGTGTGCCGTGGTTTAGATCTCACCCAAGATCTAAACTCGGGAATTCCAGCTTCTGTCTTGCAACAACATCCTGTTGTTCCAAACAAGTAGATGAACGATCAGTCGACCATGCTGACACACGTGGTCACCACGCAGCCACCGCCTTTGGCCCCTGGCACGCGACTTCTTCCGCCTGGAGGCAGGACGGATCGGGATCGGGTGAGGCAGGGGATCTTCGTCTTCCAGTCATCCAGGAGTCATAGAAAAAAACAAAGAACAGTGAATTCACCCATGAAGTTCATGCCAAGTTCAGCTCTTCACAACACCCGCGTGGAGCTTCGCATCCGTTCGTGGCATCCTGACGTTGCGAATCGAGCTCCGATGGCTCTGAGAGGCGAAACAGAGGCGAACGGATGCTGGCGAACCCACCCTCTGGCCTCCAGAAAACACGGTGCTTTTGATTGGGGTTTCAATGGACATCCCAGCGATGTCAGGTCCTTCCCAGCGGAAGCCTCCGCGGAGTCCAGAAATACGACCGAGTTCATGTAGTTCATGAGGGAGTCAGGGAGCAATAGTTCTCCAGGCGTCAAAAGCCGGACCCAACAGGACAGCGCCAAGAATCCTGCCCTGGCTGCCCTGCCCTGCCTGGAATCATGGGCCAACGTGAAGAATGGTTTTCACTCCACGTCCATGAGTATTTCAGACATGTGTAGACCATAAAGGAACACGCCACATGCGGTTTTCAACCTGCGGGTTCCTCAATGTCACTTTCTGAGCCATCGTCACTTCTGCAACTTCGACTCTCTCTCCCTCTCTCTCGCTCTCTCTCTCTCCCTCCCTCCCTCCCTCCCTCCCTCGCTCGCTCTCTCTCTCTCTCTCTCCCCCGCAACATAGCCACCCATGCTATGTCCAACGCCGAGGCCTCTTTGCTGGTGGCGCTCCACTCGCGGCCTTAGACCTGGAGTCTTTGTCCCGTTCTTTTAAACCTTGGGGCTTGGCCTCTCACGCCTTTCACATGACCCCCGGGCACAGAAACGTGTGGTGCCTAGCGACCCCTAAAAAGTTTCCGTTTCCGGCTCCAGCATCTCCTCTACACTTGAGAGGCCCATGACACACATAGCAATTGAACATATTTACTGTAACTCCATTCTACTTGTCATTTCTTTAAATCTGTATATAGATTGCCTCGAAGAGGATTCACCCAAAAGCAATGAACACCCCAAATGACCAAATCAAATCACCCTAAGCAAAGGAAGTCAGGTCTAGAGAACCATCCTTGGGAGATTTGTTGCTTCGAAGCACCGCAAAGTGATGAAACCAGATTCCTGGATCCACACCACTGACATGTGCGGACGACTGCTTGACATCACAGGTCGTATATAGTATATATATATGTATATATATTAATATATATAATTACATATAATTACCAATCAATGCTTTAAACAATGATTCAACTAACACAAACATGAACGGATTTTACATGAAGAGTCTCAGTCTGGGTGAAATCCTAGCCCTTTGGATCATCCTTGCTGAGTTTGACAGGTGACTTCGCCCTTGCTAAGGAGCTCTGAACCCAGCCGTGCCTTTCGGACTCCATCAGCAAGTGAGTAGGAGAGAAAAAACAAAAGCAATTCCACAGGGTTGATTCCGATTCCCGTTGATGAACTGCGAACTACCCAACTGCTCTTTCCCCATGGGGCGGGGTCCAAGGAGGGAACCACGTATTGCATCCAGGGCCGAAAGACATGGACAGGGCCATCACAAGGACTGCTCACGTGCGAAACCATGAGGACTGATATATGTCATCAGAAACTGCTCCAAACCATGGTGGGTGAAGTTTGTTCTTGACCAGGCTTTGTGGACCCAACAGCCTCCTCTCGAGCAGAAGTGGCGGCAGCAGCAGTTGAACCAGAAGCTGCAGGTTGGGTGGAAGAAGAACACCAAGACATTCCATTTGATTCTGGAATGATTTGGCCCCATTCAGCATCCAGTGACCATGGCAGCAATGTTTATCTGACAAATTATGTATCTTCTCCGAAGAGTCTTCGGGGAGATAAGGCGGCCATGAGGCTGCAAGGATAACCATGTTCTGCAACATGTGACCAATGTGGGGATTTGACCTGGAGCCCTCAACGCCGTGTAGCTATGACCTTCCAGGTAGGTCAACCAAATCTCCCTCAAATTCATAAGACTTTGATTGAATACACCTCCGACCTAGGCTGCAAACCCCGGTTTCATCCAATGGTTTGGTTCCCAGGTCCCATGACTCATTGCCAAGTTCTCTTCACACAAAAAATTAATATTTGACATACGAGAAGTGTAAACAATTTGGGATAATGCTAAGCAACGACCCAGTAACAAGACCGCAGAACACATACGTACATCGTTTTGACCGGATTCAGAGAAAATTAAAACAAATGCAAGTTTGAAGAAACATCAATCATCAACAAACATGAACATCATATCCCTAAAGAAACGCCGCACCCAATGCTGTTCAGACCTTCCCCGTGCTTCGGCTGTTTGGACGACCGGTCTGAGGGTTTTTCGGGCGCCCCAATGTTTTGCTGCTTATACACATGTCTGACCCAGCTCCATGATGGTGCAACAACATGGGCCTATACATTCATCAACCACGAAAGAAAACCAGTCATGTAACATGTAGGCCATGTAACATGTAGCAGTTTGATTGGTTGTGTCTGAAAAAAAAGAAGAATGTGTTCATGTAATTTCCGACCATGTGAGGCTAAGTTTCATGTCCAGTGACCCTTAAGGGCCATGATCGATTGTACCAAACATAGAAGTCGGAGAAGAAACAACACCTGCAACATCGGGATCGATGGTGGTTTGGGGGGCTCCGCCAGTTCCCGCTTTCGTGCTTCGGTTGGTTTTTGGAGAGCATTCTCAGCCTCCTTCGGCTCTGGCTTTTTGCAGCAAGACCTGGGGGAACAGGAGTCCCACACCTCATGTTGTCGGTGAGGGTGTCATGGTTGTCATGTGAAACGGCCACACGCCACAGATACCTCGATCGACGGCAAGGCCGATGTTCCATGCAAGCGGGCATGTAGCAGCAGCATGCAGGTCTTCTTGGAGCTACCAGGGCAGTGTGCTTTTTTTCTCAGCTCGTCGTGTTGGTCGCCATCCAAAAGACTCGTCCCCCCCAAAACCATCCCACAGGTCCACCACTTGCCATGTGCGAGGTCCACCGGAAGGTTCCATGACCAGACCCCGGCTGCCGGTCGGCTTCGGCCTGCTACCGATACGGCCCGGTGAGTGAAAGTCTCCGTCGAAAGCAGAGCAAGTGTCCGTTATCCACAGGTCATGCGGCAAGGCAAGTGCGCACCTACTCCTTCAAACCAGCCGCCCTTTGAGATGTTTTTGTGAAACAACCCGCAAATGCAAATTTGAGGTGATCTTGATGGTTTCAAGGAAATGGGCAAGGTCGAGGCAGGCCTCATGCCAGCGGTGAAGGAGCTTGATAGGCTTGGCGTCAAGTCCGCGCCATGTGAATTGTCCAGGTCATTCTCACGTTGCCATTCCAGGGTCTGGGTTCTTCCCTTTCCTGGGCAGAACTCGGGTCAATGTGTTTGAAGATGTTTGAAGCAGAAACAAGCTGGTTTCGGCTTTCTCAAGTCACCCCCCTCGCATGGTGATATCTGCTAGCATGGTTCCTCGATAAATCTGCAGCCATCCGTTGAAGTGCAACCAATGGGCATGTACCCCCCTTTGCTGCATTGTGAGAGGAGCAAACACACATCTGTCCATGGATGATCTCTACACGAGGTGCCCAAGCACCTTGGCCAATCTCTCCATCCTGAATCTTGTCACCTTGTGTCACCTTCAACTCTAGACCTACCACCCACCCCGGCAAACGTCTCTCCTGCGCGGTCATATGCCGGTTCCACCGCTTCCTCAGATTCGTTTCCGGGTCCAGGGAGGCGCGGGCAAACAGTGCGGAGACTGGTCCAAGAGCCGCAGGTTGAAAACGTGTTGAGACGTCCTATCGTTTTTGAAGAATAACTGGTGCGGCGTCTGGTGTCTTGGTTGAGAAGTCTCGTTTTTGCAATGATTTCCCTGGACCCTCAAAGTACCCACCATAGTCAGCCCAAGTATGTCATACATGGAATCCGGATGCATGCGTCGTGTCCCATGTTCGAGTCCTTTGGGGGGCCCCGGTCTGTTGAACCTGTTCCCTCAAAAGCAACTCCAAAATGTCCAACATCCTGATGTTCAATGGGACTGGACATATTGATTTCAGTCAGTCCGTTTCGGTTTCAAGACACGTCTGGTGTAGGATCCGCATGTGGATTGTACCTACTCCTGGAACCTGAGGCACCTCTATTTTGGATCACCACCCATTCAAAACTATGATCTTTTCCTATCAAAACAAAGGTCAAATGAGCTCTAGGCTAGTAGAAGCTAATTGGAGGTCCTCAACAAAAATAAGTTGGCCCTCTTTGGGGGACATACACCAACCATCCGGGCAAACCTCGACCAAACCGACACTTCCTGGAGCGACATGCCTAAGAGGCCCAACCAATCCATGGACCCTCCGAGCAAATATAGCAGGGGACGGGACAGCAAGGGTCTGGGACCCTCAAAGAACCTTTCAATTTGAGGGTCCGGATTGTGGTGGCCAACAGATCTAGCTGGACGCACCAGTGTTTGACATCATCTGGAGGTATTGCTCTCTTAACAAAAAAAAAGCTAAACAAAATAAATGTTAAAACATTGTTCCGTTCACCCTCAACGACCCTTCCTTCCAAGGACCGCTGTCGGTGCCCAGTGGCAGCTCTTCGGTGAAGACCTCGCCTGGATCGCCTGGGTCGGTCGAACCACGAAGAAGCGGAGAGCGCCAGCGTAAGGGGCGGAGAGTTCCTCTGTTGAGACAGCCACACAAAGAAGATATATCAGGCTTTAGGCATTGTGTTGTTTATGTTTTTTCCGGTGCAAGCACATGAAACACATATGGAAACCAATTAATATTGTATCACATGAAAAAGTGCAATATGGTTTGTTCTGCAAGGGTGGACATGCTGTTTATTGCACTTGGACAATATTTGCACATTGGTTTCATTTATGCTGTTTATTGGGTTTCATCCCAAGTGTCGCTTTAATGACTCGGCTCGTGACGGAACGATCAGAATGTTTGGCCTCAAGCTTCAATGCCGTACCTCAAAACATCTTTATTTTTGTGCATGTTCATCTTGAACCACCTGTGGGTACATATCCCTACAAAAACCAACGGAACAAAGGTGTTCATGACCCACCAGCACCAGCCCTTAGACCAAACCCCGTCCACATGAGTGCCACCTTTCGCAGGTCTGGGAGATGGGTGTGGCGGTTTCCAGACCTCCCACAGACTCCCTACAGGCTCGAGAACGGGAAGAAACGTCAGACCGATCGAGTCAGGAACAGGAATCATCCAAACGAAAATGGAACTCCGCCTGGTACTTCCTGATATGTCCAAGTGCTTCATGCCATCACATGTAATTATAAAACAACTAAGGTCGGTCTTTCTCTGATTTCTACAATTCATCATCAGTTCCAATCGCCAGACTCACCAACATTTTGTGGTAGACCATGGTCTATCCATCTGTGTGTGCATGTAGCTTGACCATCTTAACCCCACATAACCCCACTGAGTTTGCCTCGTTGCCGGCGTTGCGGTTCCGTCGCTGCGTGGCAGCGCCCCCAAGAGTTCCCCGGCGCAGCCCGGCGAGGCCCGAGACGCCCGTGTGGGACCTGGTCCAAAGAGAAGGAGCTTCTACCAGTGGCCCCCCCCCGGGCCCCAGGCCCGGCTGCCGGGCCATGCCGGGCCGTTTCAGGGGTGTCCAATAAGAGCTTAACCTCAGAGGTTCATGGGTGTCTATGGAACCACCCCCGAAGCGGGGGAGCTGGTATGAGATACATCAGGAACTGTTGCGAAGTGCTTGGTGTTTCATCTCAATAGTCTCGCTGCATCCACGTTCGAAGGCTAAGCTTCCAACACATGGACCCTCCGACGGAGGCTTCCGACATGGTAGGCCCTGAAAAGGTGGAAAACATGGCATGACCTGGTCTGGCGAACCTGGCGAACCTGAATAGGATACCTTTCCGCCCAAGCCAAGGGAAAATGATAACATATACGACATATACGTACACATATACTATACTACTGATAGAACCTGCGGGTGCCTTTTCGTCCCATATTTGGGGCCACCCAACAGTCCGGACACTGCTTCTAATACATCTTTGGACCTGTCATGTCATGCTTCTCTAACGCTCGGTCTAGATCAAAGAGCAAAGCATCCTCATGCATCCTCGAACATCTCACGACCTCAAAAGGTCTACAAACAAACACATGTGGATTTTGGAGACATGTTCTCGCAAAGAACTTACACATCTTAGCAAGTAGTTATATCATAGCTACCGGGTGTTACCGTGCCCTGACCTAACTTAAGTTGTCCTAAGTTCCTCACTGGTGGGTAAATATTCTCACATAATAAGTTTCCCATAGTTTCCCGAATGCCAATATCTAAAATAGAAATAACATGTGTGGTTAGGCATAGGTTGACATAGTAACATGTGTCATTTCATTCAAATGTGCATTTGGAGCACGGCTAAACAACATGGACAAAACCATCCTCAGTTGCCTTGTTAGCTTGCCTCTTGGCATCTCTGCTTCTCTGACAGGACGACCTCCAAAGTAACAGGCACCACCGAGCGAGGTGGCTGAGCCATCTCGCGGTCCGTGCGCATCTGTCGTTCCTGTGCGCCGCCCAGTCCAGGCGCCGCTTCGGTGACTGGTCAGCCCCAAAGCGTGAGGTCCAGTGAGTCAAGGAAGGTGCGTCACCACGCTGCGTGAGGTCCGCGACGTCGCGACGCGGCGATGCGAAGCCTTTGGCGACGAGATCGCCGTGAGACGCCAAGAAGTGCAAGCGCCACGCCTGGAGACGGCCTTGACGACCTCCTGTGATCTGCCATAGCAAGGTGCTGCACGTCGTGATGGTCTGCAGTGCATACCCCGCACCTTGCATTTCAGGCCGTGACCTCAAGGCATAGGCGCGCCCGGCGAGCCAGAATGCAGAAGGGGATGATGATGGGTTCCTCCGATCATTCGATGAGATTTTGCCAAGGGGGTTCCAGACAGCGTTGACACTCTTTCCAAGTGCGTTTGATCAAGTGATGAGACTCAAACGCCAATGACTGAAGGGTCGTAGCGACTGAAGGGTGACGATCTTGTTGATGCTGATCAGAGGCGGCTGGATCCGGAGGTAGAAAAACATATATACTTTTTCACTGCCAAGACACAGCGCAAGACGAGGTAGACGCTGTATTCTTCGGTTGCAGATTCTGGAACTAGCGTTGTCACCAAAGATGCCTTGGAACTTCATCAGACTTGATGTCCCCTTCATCATCTTGATCAGGACTCTCATCCACAATGGATTCAGTCCCTCAGGCCTCAGGACATTTTTCGGGACAGGTGAGTTCACGCCCGGATCTGGGACCCTTCATCTAGTCTGGTGGACGCCTTGTCACTTGAGATCAATGGTTGCTTGCGTAGACGCCGTAGATGCTTCAAGAAATGGCCCGTCCGAAGCGGTGACAGGACAAATGCTATACCCCAAGAGTATGGGCCCTCAAATGGGAAGCTTTTGAGGTTCCGGACCCCTGCTATGTTCCAAGGTGTCGGGTCCGAGCCCTGCCATGGAGGGTTGAGGGATTCTTCCTTCTGTTCTGGATTTTTGGCTCGGCTAGAGGACTCTTGACCACCCCAACCATGGAAAACGGATGCGACAAGTAATGCTGATACCGGTGTTTTGAACAGTGTATTGGACTCTTGACTCCTCTCTGAGACCTCCGGCCGCTCAGGAGAAGAGTCTGGGAGGCGCAGCTCCTGCAAGTGAGATCCAACAAAACAGTTCCCCCCCGAATAGATTGAATAGATAGTATGTTATATTATGTTATATTTATGATAGTATGTATTCTGTAATGTAATATATGTATATAATGTTCCCAAAACAGTATACATCATGTGCCCAAGCACTGTTCTTGGAGCCTTATTATTGCAATTTATTGGTGGAACTAACAATGTGGAACGCCGCTCTTTTGGTGGACGGGTAAAGGGCCTCAGTGGACCTTCAGATCAGGTAACGTCGGAGAATTGTACGCCAGCAGCACCAAATATACTTATAGAGCTTGGGTCTATCCTATTGCCAGTAACAAGTAACAGTGGATGATGATGGTTAGTAAAGGCCTTTTTTCGAAAGTAGTGATAATCGTTACTGACTGTTATATACAGGTAATAATAGGACAGATCCTAAAAAAGGCCTCTTAGAGCCCATTCGATATCTGTTTTGATAGGGAAAAACACAAATCATACTTTGGATGGGTGGTGATCCAAAATAGAGAATCCCTCAGGTTCCAGGTCTAAAAATTACTGTAAATCATATTAAATAAAGTATAGTCAGCCAACACCTAGTGCATGGATTGTTGCAGTAATTGCTTGGCATCCACTCATGATGGCTCCTCCTGGGTTGAGATTTCAATGTCAGCGGTGTGATGACCCGTCCGATTATTATATATATAATGGCAAACTTTTCGCTGGGCATTTGATTGGTCCCCTACCCCCCTGCCCCGGCCAAAACCTCGATGCCCAGTCTCAGTGGTAACTCATGAGCAAATGGGACTTGGGGCGTTCCCTTCGGGCATCCAATAGGCACAGGGATGCATCAAATCACCTCAACCTATGCACGGATTCATTGATCCCCGTTCTTTGATGTTCGCAAAGGACAGTCAGACCTGTGCACAAGCAAAAATCATAGCCCGATGGTCGAAGATCCATGATTGGTCAGACTATGTCTTGGACTGCCTGATAGTCTCCCGACAACTCTTCCTATCCGATCCACATGATCCAGCGCTTTTCTTTATCGACAAACAAAAACAAAGCTATGCTCACCTTGCTCAACTCCATGCTGAACAAAGAGCTTGTTCTTACACGACATCCGTGCTAAAGATATCTGCTCTGGGTCAGACTCCTTGAGGTCTTTGCTTGATAGGCCTAGTGGCATGGGATGCTTCTCAAGGCCTAGTGGGCACATCTCAGAACCCTCACAAACAGGCCATGTGTCATCATGCCGTTCGATCGATCTTGTTCTCCTCATCTCCCCTTCTTCAGATTTGGTGCACAGCCGTGCAATGTCTTCGGCTGGGTGTCCTCATTGCGGCCCCAGGGGTTTCACATTAAACGGAATCTACCACTAGGCCATGGGCGGCCACGGGCGGCCTAGGGTCAAAGCTACACAATTCCCGGCTAAATAAAACCTGACCAACGGGTACGTCTATCACCCCATCAAACATCAACTTCAAACACCTTCCATGCCAAACTGAGGTATCTTGGGTCTTGGGGGGAAACTATACTAAACACAACATCTTCCTGCCAGTACATGGCATCTTTCGCACTCACTGAGACGAAAGGACCTTTCGCACGTCATTTTCCGGCTCCTTCCGGGTGGCATCGGGTCCGCGCGTCATGGCCTCGCAGCAGCATGGGCAGGTGAGCTTGCAGCATTCGGGTGAGCCGAACCGCGGCTGCTCGGTGTGGCTGGGAGAAGATCTCTGAACTGGGCAACCTCCAAAAAGGACCGGGACTCCTTCACCTTGATTTCAAGGTCACGCACCCAGCGAGCCGAGCGCCAATCGGATCGATCAAAGTTCAATGACAACCGCACCTGGATCTTGGTCGCCTCCAACCAACGTTCACCTCGGTCAAACAATGTCAAACACATGGCAGTTGCTGACCTCCTCAGTTTCCCTGGAACATACAGGGTTACCGGAACCCTTTTCTACTTGTTGAATCTTAGTGGGGAACCACTCTCCACAAAAAAGTTTGGCAGGTTATCGGCTATCCACTAATTCCTGGGTAGGCATCTCGATTCTGTGGTCGTGAGGAGTGACAGTTTGCACCGAACCTAGCGCCATTCAAAGAACAAGTACAAGCGTGAGCAAGATGCTCCTGCCGTCAATCTACCAACAATGTAGACTCTTGATTTAACACATCCTCCATATGAAGAGGTGTTTCAACTCAAATGAGGTGGTGAATTGCTCCTCAAGAGTCTACATTATACGTATCACCTCTTTCCCGGGGGTCGTGTCCGTCGTTTCGCCTCGGAAGGAGTCGCGCCTCTGACCCTCGGTCGCCGGTTCAAACGGGGCAGACCGCTGGGCGGTCCAGAGTCACCCCAGTCGCAGCAAACAACAGCTTGCTGCTATTAGCTGCTAGCTGCTACACGCACCACGCAAACATGTCCAAAAGTACCCATGTGTTGAAACATGTTGACACATCCTACATCTTCGGAGGACCCCTTGGAATTTGAGGATCATACATTGACAGGAGGAATCTCTAGTACGCACACTGTTTATGGATGGCTCTACTACAAGTGCTCAAAGTCTACAGAGCTTGAAGGTTTCTTCGAAGCGCTTGCTACTGGGCCCTGCACACAGTGCAAAACACGCCATAGTGACCAAAAGCCAAGAGACCCAATGCCCAAAACAAGCCCAAAACAAGCCCGTTTGTGGTTGAATCCCTGTCAAACAGCTGGCTTTGTGGGTGGATTGTAGGCCTTTTCCGCTTCCAAACATGAGCGGATGAAAGTATATACGTGTTGCTTGTGAGAATGTCTTGACCCTTCTTGACCCCAAAATTCCTGATTCCAAATCCAAGACCAAGCCACGATCTTGTGCGTGTCCGCTGTAGCCGTTCCGCGCGTCCTGCGTTTGTTTGGCAAAAACCAAAGGGTACCCAAACAACCAAAGAATTCACACTGCCTTCTACGAACTACAGTACTACTTCTACTTATTGCATACCCCGGTTCGTTTTGCCCTGTTTTGTGGTGGCAAGGCTTTTGAACCTGCAATGAGACTCGCCTGGCCTCAGCAAAGGCCAGTCTCATGTCCGGGTCTTTGATGCAAGAAGGTTGTGGTCTTCGCTTCCATTGATTTCATGCGATTGAAGCGGTCGTCCTCTTCGTGAACCCCAAAAACACGAGCTGAGGAGCTGCGGTGCCCGGTTCTATCCCACATCTGGTGATCTATGATCAGAAGACCTCGACTGACTGACCTGGGTAGGCCATGATTCAAACTCTAAGCTCGTGTCTCTGTGAAC